CCTGCTATAATACATTAATAAATGTTTCTGCAATTGATTATTATTCATACAAATATTTTTCATTGCTCTGTGTAGTAATTTTTTTTTTAATTTATCAGGTTAAGAAACTCTGCCTCATGGACTTTATTAAATGCTTTATGAGCTCCTGCGGGCCATACAAAATGACTTGACGGGCCACATTTGGCCCCTGGGCCTTGAGTTTGACACGTGATGTAAATGTTCCTTTAGGTAAGAAAAGTTTGTTTGATTCAAATTGAGTACAACCTCCACCTCCACCACCATCATCTCCTCATCAGCCACACCTACTACCTTTGTTTACATGTTTACTAGGTAAGAAAAGTTTGTTTGATTCAAACCATCATCTCCTCATCAGCCACACCCACTACCTTTGTTTACATGTGTTGTTTTTATGTGGCCTTTCTTGGGTTTGATGCTAAGTTTGAATGTAAACACATGAATGTTCCTCTGACATCATCCTCTTCTCTACACCCCTTAAGTGTCCTAACAGCTCATCATAAACTCCTTCCTGGTTTGGACCCTTCCAGAGAGTTTGAGTGGGAGGAAGAAGAAGAATGACGCACATGCGGCATGAATCATGTGTGACCCGCCCCGAGAACTTGTTGTGTTTTTTTTTTGTCATCATCTCACCACGGTGCTCACTGAATGAAATGACCATTCATGTTTGGTGGACGGATTATTTGTTCATATTTTACGTTGACAGCCAAGACAGGACCCCCAGAGACCCAGGCCCGGAGAACAGAGCTGCATTGAAAATCTCAAAGTGCTTTGGCCCAAGTTTTCCTCCACGGCTCATGTCCTGGACTGTGATTTTATTCAATTAGAGAATATTTACCTTTCACATCATGTCAGCGCTGATGTAGAGCAGCGGTGGGTAGAAGTTAACTCACCTGTTCCTCAGCACACACTTTCTATTGTTTCCCTCTGTATGCATGCACACAGACTGTCACTCAAACTCCCTCACACACACACATACACACACTCTCTGTGGTATGAGTTTATTATTTCAGTTTGGTCCGGACCAGTGACCAGGTCCTCGGTTCTTTCCCAACGTGTGAAGAGTGGAAGGAAATCAAAGCCATTTCCTTCATGTTGGCCGCTGTGGGTTGTGGTTCCCTAGGGCTGCTGGGGCGAGACTGGCTGTAAAGTACTGAGCCGTTCGAGTCTGGGAAGTTTGTGGAGCTCTGTATCCATCGCTGCCAAAATCAACAGAGGAAACTGTTGCTCAAAGGCATCAACCACAGGTAGGAAAAGGACTAATCCCTGCTCCGATGATCAGCTGCGTTCATTCACCGTGATCACAGGGTATGAAATCCTCTTCCTCCCTCTTCCTCCCTCACCTCTCACCGCTTTTTGTTCATTTGTCTTTTTACTTGACGGACACACAGCCACTCACCTCAGGGGATGAGAAAAGTTTGTTCTAAACACTCCGCCGTGCTGGAGCAGCTTTAACACTCTGCAGTGGTTCTCTGATGGAGATATGTTGCCTTTTTATTCTCATTTAAATGCTAATAACTTGGAGAACATCCTCTGCTGGGAGCAAAGCTTTTCTCTTATCTGGTCTCAGCACGAGGTGAGCACCTGCCTGCTGAATATGAAGCACTGGAAATCTGCCTGTTGCTGCGACAAGGTGTAAAGTGGACTTCCTGACATCAAGCACCACCTTGGTGGGTCAGTCTCCTCGAGACCTCCATGTTGTCCTTGATGATTCTCTGTCACTTCACTCAGAAGAACTAAGCAGAAATCGTTTGTTTTTTTCTGCTGAAGAACGTCTCAGGACTTCACAGTCTGGTGTGGGTCGTCCTTCTCTGTCTTCTTCTCATCTCCACTACAGCTAAAAACGGACTTTTGTCACAGTTTTGTTCATATATTTGTGTCTCTGAGTACCCACTCCTACAGTACCAGGTTCAGTACTAAGTAACCAGACTCCAACTTACAGTAGGTCCACAGTCTAAGGACATCAGGTCAAAGGTCACCAGTAGTTCAGGTCTCAATGACTTTTCTAAATCAACAGGGAACCGTTGGGAACAAAGATCGGTTCCCTTCCCTCCCAACAAGCTACTTTGTCGTGCTCTTACTTCTTGTCTCCTTAGCTGTTAGCTTGTTTCAGCTAACATTCCTGACTTTCTGACATGAGAAACAGAATTATGCACTTCCTGCAGCTCCTCTCAGACAGAGCCTGAGATCTTCATGGTCCACCTCCACGTATACGATAGCAGGTCTGTAGAGGATTCTGGGTCTCTGTGTCTGTTCACACACATTGAAACAGTAAAGATCACAAACCCTTATGTGAAAGCTGGCATCTGTTCATGCCTGGCAGGCAGTGGCCCACAGAGAGCAGTGTTCACACCTCAGCTGGAATGCAGGTTCCTCTGCACAGCACTGAAACAACTTCATACTCCACTTAGATAGATGTCAGCAGAGGCTGCGAGTCATGGACTGCCAAGATTCTTATCACAAATATTACACCCCGGGCCTTCATCTGGGAATTAAGAAGACATCTGAGGAGAGGTTCCACCTTAGACTGCCAACCTGCAGACCAACACAAAAACACAGGCACAAAAAAAACCAATGAGTCATTGTGTTTTTTCTTTTGGAAATGCTGTGTCAGAACGGGAATGTGCAATGATGTGGCTCCCCGAAAAAGATCCGTGGAGAGAGAAGGTTCTCCTCTAGAACGCACTGCAGTGACCCGGTTCTCTATGATTTCATTTGAATAAATATAACAATATGAATTTTATTTCATTTGAATAAATATAACAATATGTAATTATATGAAATATATATATGTAGGTATATATATATACACACACAGTGTATACTCACATAACAACTGTTCCTGTGATGTCACTGGGTTGTTTTTTGGAGCGGGTCCTTAGAGTCCAGTAACACATAACAGGAACGTTCCTAACTGGTACATCTTATAAGAGGACCTGGACGTCATGTGTATCCAGTTCTACAACATCATGAAGTAAAAGTTCTCCTCCTGACCTCAGCAAACAGCTGAACATGGCAGAAACTTTTCCTCCGAGTCTCTGAGCGGCTTTAGAAGTGAATCTGTCTGGTCCAATTTGGAGCCCAGGATTGAGTCAGCTGCAGATAATGCAGGTGTGAAAGGACGGTGAATGGACTGTGATTAAAGCTGAGTAAATGTTTAATTCTCTGAGCAGCCTCAGAAGCCTCACGTCAGTGTGTGAATAGAAGAGTGACATCAGGTGAATTATGTTCCTCACAGCTTTACCAAGATAACGACCTTTAATTTCTGACAGGTCTGAGTCGGCCTCCAGCTCATTGTCTGTGCCGCAGGTCAGGGAAATGGACTTGGACATGAAACAGAAATCAGTTTAAAAGTTGAAACGGATGTCAAACCTTCGTCCAGGTAAAAGGTGAGGCTGCGTTATCTCCGTTAAACAGCTCTTATTTGAGATGAAACTGATTCAGTGACAGCGACTGTTGATTTGAGACCACGTTGACAATTGAATCAAATCTTATTGAGCTTTTTCTCTCCACACCTCATGTGTGGGTGGCAGATGGAGCCGCACTGGTTGTCACAGCGATAGAAGAAAATACAGTCGACTGATCCAACGAAAGCAAACGCCTCCTTCTGGGGAGAAACTCTGTCAGACGGTGGCAGCTGCAGGAGAATTTGGTTTTATATTTCTGCAGAAAACAGATCAGAAATCACTGCTCCACTTGTCTACAGCACAGAGGCTTCCACCTCACACCAGCTCTTTATAAACAGAACTATTACATGTGAATAGACAGCGTTCTACAACACTGGTGTTCAACAGGGGGGCCACAACACCTAGGGAGCCCGCAGAGAAACTACATGGGTCCTAAAACTTTGGAATTTTTTTAGACATTTTTCAATTTTTACACAAAAACTCAAAGTGCACAAGTGGAACGACTTTACTCTAATAACTGTTTTAAATGAACCTGAACAAATAAAGGAAAAAGTTCATGTTATATATATATATATATATGAATGAAATGAAAACAAATATAGTCCATAATATTCTCCGGAATAATGTGAAAGATATTGCATACTTTAAAGATATTGTAGTATGTCGAAGTTTCATTCATTTTAGGAACAATGTTAAAAAAAATCTAAATTCATTAACATGCAGTGGTGGCAATATTTCCGAATTTATCGTACTGATAATATATCGTATTTGTACGATAAATGTAAGTATTTCAAAAAGCATTCATTCGATATAATAATAAGGATAACATGATTTTTCTTCACTTTCGATGTATTTATTTATTTTTAGTTTCTACGTCAGTATTAAGACACGAGTGGACCTTAACCTCCACCACCGCCAGACCGTGGCTGTGGGGGGCGGCCCAGCTCGAGCTTCCCGCCCTGTGGGTGTGTTTACGTCGAACGGGCCCCTGCATCCACCTGCTGTGTCCTGACTCCGCCAGTCACAAGACACTAACTTTGGCGAGGAGCACGGCTGCGTGTCCGCACGGACCTCCCTTTTCTGCTACACTTCCCTGGATTCCAGTTCTTCGAATCTCTCCCGGAGACGTGGATGGTCCACAGAAGCTCCTCACAGGAGACACAGAGAACCGGAGAACCTCCTTTTTCTCCTCCTTTAGTTTGTCGGAACACGCTGAAGTGCTCCGGTACCACAGAGCGTGTGCGCAGTGAGCGCAGGTGAAGCCAGAGAGAGCGGGGACTGTCCACAGGCAGCACCGGGATTCAAACTCCCAGAGTCCTGTTCTCCTGAGGACCAGAGGACCAGAGGACCTGAGGACCAGAGGACCAGAGGACCAGAGGACCTGAGAACCAGAGGACCAGAGGACCAGAGGACCTGAGGACCAGAGGACCAGAGGACCAGAGGACCTGAGGACCAGAGGACCAGAGGACCAGAGGACCTGAGGACCAGAGGACCAGAGGACCAGAGGACCTGAGGACCAGAGGACCAGAGGACCAGAGGACCTGAGAACCAGAGGACCAGAGGACCAGAGGACCTGAGAACCAGAGGACCAGAGGACCAGAGGACCTGAGGACCAGAGGACCAGAGGACCAGAGGACCAAGGATTGTTTATTTTCAATGACTTACAACAAGGTTGGACGTCAACTTGTGTTTGGAGCGGTGTAACTGCGAGGTAAAGGAGCATTATTATTATTATTATTATTATTATTATTATTATTATTATTATTATATATTTTTAATATTTAATAATCTTTTTATAATAATCATTTATTTCATTTTGCAGCATTATCAGCGTTATTATCATTTAAGGTAAATTAAATTCCAGTCAAATAATTATTACTGTTTTTAAATTATAAATATATTCCCGTTCTTCGTCCATTTTCACTGTCACATTTGCACTGATGGCGCTCCAGACACTGTTTACACTCCTCTGGTCCATGTGTGTCCACGGCTGCCAGTCTGATCCACAGTACACTCTGTGGATCATGTTCCACTAACATCCGAGTTAGTTCGCTTCTATTTCGACATAGACATAGACATAATAATTATAATAATAATAATAATAATAATGATGATGTGTTATTATGGTTGCAGCAGGAGGATTCAGTCTTTCAGTGTTTATTACATGCTCTTTATTTGTAAAATGTATCAATTTAAAATGTAAAATGATATTTAAACGAACAGAGAACATAAGGCACCGATGTGGGTTTTTTTTCCCCCCCAGAACGTGACTTTAATCAATACAAACAGACAAAGTTCATTTTCAGTCATTAGAAAGTTTTCACGAGACTAAAATGACCATATAAAAGTCTCTCTCTGTATGTGTGAGTGTGTGTGTGTGTGTGTGTGTGAGTTCATGTGCTGGTGTGAAGGACTTGGCCTCTGTTTCAGAATAAACAGCTGGATGCTCAACAAATTGTCAGTAAACAGCCTGGGTTTAAACAGCTGTCTGTGCTCATAAAGCAGGCAGACTGGGGTTCTGTGAAGGTGAGCTGGACCTGGTCCACATGTCCAGAACCGGTCCTGGAGAAACTCTCCTCTATCCAAACTGTTGATCGGACAGAGTAGTGTGTTAGTAGGCCGTGGAGGTGTAGAAGTTCTGATTGGTCCGTGAGGCCGTTCTCTGTGGTGACCCCTGGTGACTGACATTATTTAACCTTAGACCTCACTAATGGTCAGCCAGCTTCTGTTAGAGGCTTTGTTTAACCGTCCTGATTTAGTTTGTCATCACTTTCAGCAACAAGTTAATATTTTATTTTCACTGAAGCCTGTCGTGCGTCGTGGTCCCGGTGGGCGTGTGACGTGGTGTGACCCCGGCGTTAGCTGCAGCCATAATTAAAGAGCGGCACACAGGTGTGGTGTCATGGAGGAGGAATGTGTTCTGGTTGTGAAACAAAGGCTGGCGTTCAGTGGTGTCTCCATCGTTTGTCACCTTCTGAAACACAAGCATCGCTTTTACTGAATGGAAGTGGAACAAACATGAAACCTCAGCTCCCTCTCAGCACTTAAGGGTTCTGTGGACGCGTCCAGAGATCAGTGGGTAGTGAAGAGGCCCCCGGGGGCTCGTAATTAACAACAGAAATATTTGTGCTCGATGCCTGTTGCTGTGTTGAGGTTGAGAAAAACAGATTCTTCTAACACGTCCGCTTTTGTCTCTACAGAGATTTAACAGAACATCAGTCTTTTCGAGCGCCTGGACGTTGGACAACCATGCAGTGGGACAGTCTGTGGACGGTCCACGTCCTGCTAGCACTACTCAGCTCAGTCCATGGAAACCTAGTGATCAATGACCCGTTGGCTGCACCTCGAGTCTTCATCTCATTCAAAGGTAGGAAGCCTCGAACCTCAGCCCTCAGACTGCAGCTCTGTGATGGAGCTAAAGTATATTTTTGACTCTTCCAAGTCTCTGCTGCTTTCTTAAACTCCACCACACGCTGGGTGGATGAATGGCTGACAAAGTGACGGATGTTTATTACTGGTGACTGCCCGTCTGCTGACTGCTGAAGGTCGGAGCAGAGAGAGAACCCAGTTAATCAGGAGACACTGGTGCTGCACCGTGGAGCAGACCAAAACCAGATCAGGCTTTTCTTATTCCCCTCCATTAAAGCTGCAGGCGCTGTAATAATCAGCAGCTGCTTCCACTGCCTTCTATTGTTAGAACCATTAGAACCAAAGAGCAGAAGAGCAGCAGCAACTCTGTGGTTTTCTATGGTCAACAATGGTCGTCTGTGGTCAACTATGAGCATCTATGTTCTTCTGTGGTGGTCTATGGTCATGATCGGCGGCTGTATGGATTACAAGAGACAGGTTGCTGGGTTCTCTGAGTGTGTAGCTGTGTGTGTGGAGGTTTGTAGGTGAGTTGTGACAGGGGGGGGGACAAAAGAGGGGTTATTGGGGAGCTTGCATTATCAAGAGCAAATTGCCAGGATCAGCCAAGCAGAGCGACATCCCTGAGGCCTGTCCTGCTCGGAGATCAAGTCTTTGATTAGCGTCCAGAGAAAACCGAAGGAGTAATCAGCAGCAGCAGCAGCAGCAGCAGCAGCAGCAGCTTTGCCTCTGTTTGCTTTGCTTTCCATTTCCCAGCGCTCCCCGGTACGAGTTGACTTCATTAAGTGGACTGGCGCGGTGCATTGTTGAAGGCGTTTTCCTGCTTTAATCAAGTTGGATTAAACGCCTCAGTGAGCCGCACACGCACACACACTGTAGCGGTATTTTCCAGATATTGTTTTATTCTCTTCTCCGCACAAAGGCTGAGTGTATGCACTTGTGTGTCGGTGCATCTGTGTGTGACCAACCTCAGCCTCAGTTCTCCGGCTGACAGGGCAGTGGAGAACGCTGGGCTTTGCTGCTGCTTACCTGTGTGTTTGCTCCTGCAGTCAATATGAATTTCACAGTCTGCTGCTGCTGCAGCCCTCAGACTGCAACTCTGTGATGGAGCTAAAGTATCTTTTTGACTCTTCCAAGTCTCTGCTGCTTTCTTAAACTCCACCACACGCTGGGTGGATGAATGGCTGACAAAGTGACGGATGTTTATTACTGGTGACTGCCCGTCTGCTGACTGCTGAAGGTCGGAGCAGAGAGAGAACCCAGTTAATCAGGAGACACTGGTGCTGCACCGTGGAGCAGACCAAAACCAGATCAGGCTTTTCTTATTCCCCTCCATTAAAGCTGCAGGCGCTGTAATAATCAGCAGCTGCTTCCACTGCCTTCTATTGTTAGAACCATTAGAACCAAAGAGCAGAAGAGCAGCAGCAACTCTGTGGTTTTCTATGGTCAACAATGGTCGTCTGTGGTCAACTATGAGCATCTATGTTCTTCTGTGGTGGTCTATGGTCATGATCGGCGGCTGTATGGATTACAAGAGACAGGTTGCTGGGTTCTCTGAGTGTGTAGCTGTGTGTGTGGAGGTTTGTAGGTGAGTTGTGACAGGGGGGGGGACAAAAGAGGGGTTATTGGGGAGCTTGCATTATCAAGAGCAAATTGCCAGGATCAGCCAAGCAGAGCGACATCCCTGAGGCCTGTCCTGCTCGGAGATCAAGTCTTTGATTAGCGTCCAGAGAAAACCGAAGGAGTAATCAGCAGCAGCAGCAGCAGCAGCAGCAGCAGCAGCTTTGCCTCTGTTTGCTTTGCTTTCCATTTCCCAGCGCTCCCCGGTACGAGTTGACTTCATTAAGTGGACTGGCGCGGTGCATTGTTGAAGGCGTTTTCCTGCTTTAATCAAGTTGGATTAAACGCCTCAGTGAGCCGCACACGCACACACACTGTAGCGGTATTTTCCAGATATTGTTTTATTCTCTTCTCCGCACAAAGGCTGAGTGTATGCACTTGTGTGTCGGTGCATCTGTGTGTGACCAACCTCAGCCTCAGTTCTCCGGCTGACAGGGCAGTGGAGAACGCTGGGCTTTGCTGCTGCTTACCTGTGTGTTTGCTCCTGCAGTCAATATGAATTTCACAGTCTGCTGCTGCTGCCTCTCTCAGAGGAATGCTACCCCCCCCAAACCCCCTACACCCACCCACACACACACACACACAAACACGCTCAATATTATGACTCTCCCTCCCTTAATTGCTTTTTGAGAGGCCCATGTGGTCCTACCTTGGCAGGCGGGCCACACTCCCCCTGGTGCATCGCGGTGTGCTGCGTTTGACTCTGCTCCTCAGAAACACCTCCAGGTGGAGGAGTGAGGAGGGTTTAGTGGTCACTGTCAGTCACCTCTTCATCATGACTGATCATTATGTGAAGAAACTGGTCAAACTCAACACGTGGCTCAGCTGATGAATCAGTGCTGGAGGAGCGGGGTCAAGAACCCTGACCTCCATCTGGGGGATGGGGCCCTCACATCCTTATTAAAGCAAGAGGAGTAAATCACAGGAACTAAATACTTGAGCCCAGTGTAACGTGAACAGCTTTATGAACAGTGAAGGCACCGTCGCAGGTACTGGAACTTCAGTCAAACACACTTCACATGTCCTTAAACATCACTCACAGATTAGTCCCAGGAGGAAGACCTTGGATTTAGACTTTGTCCAGTCGTCACGTGTTGTTCACAATAAAAAGGAAAAAAGTCATGTTGGATGAACTCAGTGATAAATAGACACACTAGGTGATGCTCAATCGGTGGTTCCCAACCCTTTTTGCACCACGGACTGGTTTTGTGCAAGCTGGTTCCATGAACCAGCAGGGGTGTTTGTGGGTGTTTCTGAGGGGAACATACAAACATACATTTAATTATTACATATAACATTTAAATATAATCATTATTAGGGGAACATACAAACATACATTTAATTTTTACATGTAACATTTAAATATAATAATTATTATTATATATATATATATATTTCTCCTGCTTTACCATGCAGACTAGCATATATAAAAAACTTGAAATATACGTTTAGATTTTTTCTTTGCGGCCTGGTACTGATCCCAGGTGCCTGATCCAAATTAAAGAATGTCTTCTTGTTCTTTTATTTCATTTATTTATGTTTTACTTGTAGCTTTTTTTAAAAATTTTGCTCCTTTGTCCACAATCCGTCCAGATTTGGAACCATTTCCTGTCTAGAGCTGCTGGACAGGACATGTAAAGTTTGGAGCAGCTGAAGTGCTGACTGAGAAGGTTTAGAGATGTTTGAACTGCAGTCTGCTCCAATAAGCAGACAACAAGTAAACAGCCTCACAGCAAACACAGGCAGAGGGTCAAGAATCTCTGAGTGCAAATATTCAGAAACAGCACACACACATACACAGATGTAAACTGCAGCTGTGGGCGGAGCCACACACAAGACGCTGTCCAGCAACGGAATCAGGATCCGTGAGAAAAGGACAAAAGACCTCATTAAAATACCATAACATCATAAGGATTACAGCACACTTCTCCCTCCTCCTCCTCCTCCTCCCCTCCTTCTTTTTCCTCCTCCTCCTCCCCCCAGGGAACACATCAGGCCAAACCCACAGTGACAGAATGTGGGTCAGCTTTAGCCACAGAACATACGCAGTATATACACACACTCCCGTGCAGGTGGGATCAGAAACGAGTGACTCCAGATTATCATTGTTCCTAGCCTATTCCAAATATTCCTAATGGTTGTTTTTTTTCTGGAGCTCTGGAGAATGTCATGGGCATGTGTGTATTTCAGGTTTAGCTCTACTTGTGTTGACTTCTTTTTGTCGTTGAGACATTTTGTCCTTACAGTATGAGGACATTTTGCAGGTCTCCACTGAGAGACTAAGGTTCAAGATTCTGTTTGGAGTTAGGATTAGAATTTGGCTCAGATCAGAGTTAGGGTCAGGATTAAGATTAGACATATTTGTAATAGTGAAGGTCGGAGTGAGTGACGAGGGAACGTTGGGTGTCACAGCAGAGTGACTCAGACTCATAAACTTACATTTATTCCCTTTTTTTTACATGTTCTATTAAAAACAGAGGACCTTAAATCTGTCAGTGTGTGAGTGATTTGTATTTGGTAGAGAAATTCACCTTGTTGTTATAAGCTCCTCTGGACTTTTATGACCACCCTGTGAGGTATTCTGGTCAATGTTTAAACTGTAGTCGTAGCACTGTGGTTATTCTTCTTTTCCACACTCCCTCCTAGTGGTCATTCTCCCCCCTCTGTTGTGTACATCAGTGGCTGTACTTATCTTATCACTGACCTGGTTAATGATGACAGTGTGCATTTAGGAGCCAGGAGCCGAGGGTTTGCTCAACACTGCCTGTTTGAATTGTTTGCTTTTTTTTGGAGAGTTTTCTCTGAGAGTTTGTGTGGCTCAGTCAGTCCGACTGTCGTGAACACTGCTCCACAGCAGCGACCGCTGCAGCTTTAGAAAACCACCCGGACCCTGGCCTGGTCCCAGACCAGGACTGGTCTTCACAGCAGTGGAGCCAGATCGTGTTTGGTGAAAACTCTTCTCTCCCTCAGCGGGCTCACAGCTCTCATTTGTAGCTCAGTGGTGAACTATTGAACATCATCAGCAGGGAGGTGACAGCGGCTGAAGTGCAGACAGAAGCCGACTCTAATCCAGCTGGGAATAACAGACCTGACAGGAAAATAGTCAGCCTTCACCTGTGCTGGGTGTTATTTAGATTTTTACTGTGTCAAACGTTTGATTCTGACCATGTCTCCAGTGGATCCTCCACATCCCCACCACTCTGTGATGAAGACAGATCTCTGGCTAAGAAATTTATTCAAAAATCAAACTTTATTTTTGCTTTTAAATATGATATTTATATGAAATATGATATATTGAATATATGTATTTTGTACATTTAAGCAAATATTCATTGATCTTTATATATATATATGAACTTATATCAACAACGATGTGTGTGT